CTACCATTAAACACACCCTTACCAAGGCAAAATTTGGTCAGCTTTGCGTAACTTGCACCAAAAGTTTATGATGTGGACTGTCACATGTTAATTAAACCTCCCAAGTTTGGTGTAAACCCACAAACCTGTTCTCGAGCTATTTTGAGGACAGACAGAGAGACAGTCAAGGGAATTAGTCAATATATGGCGAAAGTAAAAAGAGTGTAATACAAACTAAGTAAGTTAAACTATTGGGCTTACGAGTCAAAGTACTGTTTAAACTGTAACTAAGAGCCGAACGACTAGCTATTACAACTAAACGACTACAAGATAAATATTAATTAAACTGATCATGACTCAAATTCCAAGTGAATTTCAGCTCAGTTATTGCATGGAATATTTTCTCAAGACAACATTAACTGACCTAACAATACAATATACTTGAAACCTTCTTGACCTCATCTGGTTTTTCTCTAAGAGCAATTTACTTATCAACTTTGACATACGAACACACAGACACCAATCCTACCATAGCATTAACCTGTATAAAAACATGATCAGAACCTAATTTACCCAAAGCCACCACTGGTCGACCTAGCCTGTGTACATGAAGTGACTGATTGACCCCCAAACATGACCATAATGAAGCTAATGATAATCCTGCGTGAATCTAGAGTCCGTGAGTAAGGACTTTTGAAGCGTAGTACTGTAGTAAGTTAAGAACATTAACATCGGTGCGCGCATCCCCAACTGCGCACTCAAAGACGCATTACAAGTTTGCGCAAGTACTTTTTCTTCATATTTCGCAAACTTTGTACGAGACAGGTCAATGGGAGGAGAGGATACGTGTAGATCACTCAAAAATACAGCAGCCTCTTGCTACAACCTCAGCTGACCTAGACACGAAAGGTTGCAATCTGACGCCGATACTGATCAAGTTACCAAACCGGCCCCCAAAAAACAGCAACAGCTCGAAAACATTATTTTAGAATGGAAGACTGTGGCCGCCAACCCTCAGATATAAGGCCGCTACTATGAATGATTGATGAAGTGATGTCTCATGTAATATTGTGTAATATTAAGAGTGTAATATGTTAGGGTATGTAATGTGCTGTTGTGTTTTTTGATAAGGAAGAGAATGTGATGTGGCGCAATATATCGTGATGTTATATGATGGAATGTAAAGTGACGTGATGTAGGATCTATTGTGACGTGATGTAGGATCTATTGTGACGTGACGCATGATCTATTGTGACGTGATGTAGGATCTATTGTGACGTGATGTAGGATCTATTGTGACGTGATGTAGGATCTATTGTGACGTGATGTAGGATCTATTGTGACGTGATGTATGATCTATTGTGACGTGATGTAGGATCTATTGTGACGTGATGTAGGATCTATTGTGACGTGATGCTATTGGACGTGATGTGGATCTGTTGTGACGTGATGTATCTATTGTGACGTGTGTGACGTGATGTGATCTGTTGTGACGTGATGTAGGATCTATTGTGACGTGATGCATGATCTATTGTGACGTGATGGGGATCTATTGTGACGTGATGCATGATCTATTGTGACGTGATGTAGGATCTATTGTGACGTGATGCATGATCTATTGTGACGTGATGTAGGATCTATTGTGACGTGATGCATGATCTATTGTGACGTGACGCAGGATCTATTGTGACGTGATGTATGATCTATTGTGGCGTGATGTAGGATCTATTGTGACGTCAGGCAGGATCTATTGTGACGTGATGCAGGATCTATTGTGACGTGATGCAGGATCTATTGTGACGTGAGGCAGGATCTATTGTGACGTGATGCAGGATCAATCGTGACGTGATGAAATGTAACACAATAAAGTCCAATGTGACGTGACGTGTTGCCATGTCAAGAAACGCGATCAATACGAAGGGAATCAGTGTGAAGGGTAATTGTGATGTTGAACGCCAATCCACGCAAATGGGGGAGGGGGGCGAGGGTAATATGGGGGGGGAGGGGTATTATGTGACGCCAGGAAGTGCAAGTTGTTCAGGGTAACACGTAAGCATAACAGGTTAGGACCTAACCTGTTATGGGTGGGCAATTATTTTTGATGGAGGGCCACTTCATGAATGGTGGCACACTTCGCGGGCCACAGGTTAACAGCGACGAGCCAGTATTGCTGCTATGTCCACCCAACTTCCAAAATTGTCATTTCTGTAATTAATAAGAATTTTTTTTCTGATTGCCAAATGCAGTGGCGGGCCACAGAAATAATTTGGCGGGCCAAATGTGGCCCGCGGGCCGCACTTTGCCCACCCCTGGGTTAGGTGACTGACTGTTCAAAATTCACAAGACAAAACCACAACAAATCCCCGAAACATTTCCGTTGTCGTGCTAACTCAGGTCTTGTTACCTGGCAGATATAAGCGCAAACCTCAGCATCATCACGCTGACACCAGAGGTTTAAAAATAACTTAAAATAATGAAACAAAACACGGAGAAGAGTCAACAATAGACGCAGGTTAGGGAACAAAGCTGCTCTCCACACAACAATGGCTGGCCAGCGTTTTAACTGTTGCATTTTTAATGGTCAACACAAAACGCGTTTCACTGCTGGTCAACACAGCCTGACACCCTGCGAATTTTATTCTAAAGGGGGAAAATATTCTCTCATGTGTAGGACATGAACGCCAGACATCCTCTACTAGATGGTAAGAGGACAACCAACAATATTGAAGAGGCCTCGCTGGCCTCATAACAGACAAACACACTCAGAAAGCGTCCTCAGGTACTACCAATCCTCCCCTCCGCCCACTGACATGGCTTAGTGTTATGCTGTAAGGAGAACTTATAAAATTGTATTATTTTCTACACAGTAGGGTCGGCGGAATATGAAATAAGGCCCTCAAAACACCAATATGGCATAGGGTAGGCTGTCTAGTGCCTGTACCGACAGACAATAACTTACCCATGACACAACCTTTACACACCATTAGCTTAGCTAGGCGGTCAGCCCGCCCTCTCTTACCTCCTCCGAAATTTCTTCAATTTCCGAACTTTAACTTTCTTCCCCCACCTCTAATCTTCTTTCACTCTTTCTTTCTCTACACACACGGGGCGGTGCTCCTCCCTGGTAGTGACCGTTGTTGGGACTGGGGTTGTGATGCTGACACAGAAGGTTGTGATGGTGACACTGGTAGTGGTTGTGATGACTGACACACACGATACAGTGGGGAAGGTTGTGATAGTGACACACAGTAAGGAGGTTGTGATGGTGACACAGGGAGGATGGTGACACAGTAAGAAGGTTGTGATGGTGACACAGCAAGGGGGGTTGTGATGGTGACACACAGTAAGGGAGGTTGTGATGGTGACACAGTAAGGGAGGTTGTATGGTGACACACAGGGGGGTGATGGTGACACAGGGGGAAGGTTGTGATGGTGACACAGTAAGGGAGGTTGTGATGGTGACACAGTAAGGGAGGTTGTAATGGTGACACACAGTAAGGGGAGGTTGTGATGGTGACACAGTAAGGGGAGGTTGTGATGGTGACACAGTAAAGGTTGTGATGGTGACACAGTAAGGGGAAGGTTGTGATGGTGATACACAGTAAGGGAGGTTGTGATGGTGACACAGTGGGGGATTGTGATGGTGACACAGTAAGGGAAGGTTGTGATGGTGACACAGTAAAGGGGAGGTTGGATGATGACACACAGTAAGGAGGTTGTGATGGTGACACAACACAGGGGAAGGTTGTGATGGTGACACAGTAGGGGGGAGGTTGTGATGGTGACACAGTAAGGGGGGAGGTTGTGATGGTGACACAGTAAGGGAAGGTTGTGATGGTGACACAGTAGGGAGGTTGTGATGAGCACAGTAAGGTGATGGTGACACAGTAAGGGAGGTTGTGATGGTGACACAGAGGAGGTTGTGAGGTTGATGGTGACACAGTAAGGGGGAAGGTTGTGATGGTGACACAGTAAGGGGGGAGGTTGTGATGGTGACACAGTAAGGGGGGAGGTTGTGATGGTGACACACAGTAAGGGGGGCGGTAAGAATGTGAGAGATTTCTATAAGTACTTAAGCCTTAACAATGAGTCACCATTAATGTGCTCATGAATTGACATCCAGAATGTCTCTAGCTGTGATGTAGCGACACACACTGACAGTCTGGTGTGGACTCACTGTACAAATAACCTACAGGTAACACATCTTCGACAACCCAGAAAATGTGGATGTAATAGCAGTAGCCTACATAGTAAATGATTTGACAAACAGCTTGGATGATTATTTTTGGAGGCGCGAGGGCCCGGCGAGACACGTGGACACAACAATACATCTGGCACAGTAACGGTTTAATGCGGGACTCGGGAAACTTAACCCGCCTACACGTCTCCTTCTCTTTGATCTCCTTTATCAACATATCTGTCTCCTTAATCTCTGGAAGAAAATTGACTGATCTGGAGGATTTGGGGACCAGAGCCATCAAAAACTGTGCTCTGAGTACTGTCGTGTGTGTTGTGTTAAGAGTGATGCCAAGAATTTTGAAGACCTGGATTAATGCCACAATTGCTTTTGAGATCTCACTATTTTATTTTTTGCAATAATATCACATTCCATTAAATTTATATTTGATTAGGAAATAGGGTACCTTTTTAGTGTGTGTGTGTTATAAAATATAAACTTTACCCAAAGGACATTACAGCTGTTAGTGTTGACTGTTAAGACAACACCATATGCAGATGTTTGTCAAGGCATGTGGTAAAGTTCTCAAATCATCTGAACACTTATACCGTTAGTCTCGTCTTTCACCACAAACACTCCTCTGGTAACCCATAGCCGCAAAAAAAGGCGTCAAGGACACATCGTCATTGGGTCAAACTACCACACGATTGCCTGAGAAATCACATACCCACAGTATCCTATTACATGTACCGGAAAAAAAGGTCCGAGATTAAATAACATAATAGCAAAAATAAAAAATGGCAAGAGTACCAGGGAGCAAGAACAGTAAGGACCAGGTACTTACCCCGTCTTCCGTCAAGTCGAATCCTTGAGTCTTCCGCCACCGCATCCTGGTACATGGCAAGTCCTCTTCTGTTGACAGGAGCCTAATGCTCTAATGAAGGTAGTCTGGTGCTCTAGTGACGGTAGGCTAGATACCTCAGGGTACGGTACCTTAATGAACACAGTAGCCTTCCTCACTAACAATAACTTTTCGTTAGCTGCATTCAGGATAGTCTCGCCCAAGTCGCTACCGGTCGTCTGGCTCACTAACCAGCTGACTTTGAGTAGCCTCGGGTACTTCCGGTAGTTTAACTCACTGAACCACACTCATAGTTCAGCTCCACTAGTCGCTCACACTACTTCAACCTCGTTTTCAAGTGGCGGTATAATGGTTGCACTTGGTGGTCAAAGTGCGTCATTTTTTCTGAAATTTTATATCACGTTCGTTCACTTTCACACCTGGAATGAAACTCCATTTATGATAATTCTACAAATACACACACTAGGCCCATACGCGTGTAACCAAGCTCCACATCCACTGTTTATAGTAAGAATGTCACCCTTAAATAGCACATAATATGTTGGATACGCTGTAAATCACTAAAACACTTGGGACACACACACACACAATGTCAGTCATAAGGAAATCAAGTGAAGTCAAGGAAAACACAATGAACGTGTACACTGCACTACACCGGTTAAGTTACTAAATAAACAGTGTATAGAAAAATGAATCTTTACTCTCATATAGCGTTTCACAGGGACAAGAGGAAGCTCAGCCCTCACGTACACACCCATCACTGGTCTAACATGAAGGCTTGTTTGTTGGTGCAGCTGAAGATGCCACGCTACTATCACCCTAGCAACCACACACCCTCATAATATTTCTATTAAACGAGAATTCTTGCACTGAAATAAACTGAATGATAAATGATGTAGTTATTCGAGGTAAAATTGTCTTGCTTCTTTGGCCATGAATTATCTTATAATATTTTCCCACAATTCAGAGAGATTAAGGTAATGTACAAGAAATACACAATGGGTATAAAACAAACCTTACGACCTCATATTTTTTTATACTTATCCGCCTCGAAATATATTTTTAACGAATGAAAACTAAACCTAACAAATAACCCAATTTAAAAAAAGTAATAACCATGTACATAAATTAAACCACTACATAAGTAAATACATAAAAATAATAATAATACTCACAGATGTCTATAAAGAAACAGACCAATTCAACAATATTTAGACGTAGAATATAAAAAAAAAATCAATACAGATAAACAAATAATAATGCATAAATACAATGTTGATATTAGTTTAAAAATACCTCAACTTGATAGCAGTACTTTGTGACTAATCTAAGATAAACTTGGACTCACACGTTCGACGAAGCAACAAAGATACAGTTAATCCTCTCAAGTGGACAGCTGGGTATATTACATGAGGGAGTGTGACTGTATTATGGAAGATAAGACAGGCGTCTCTCTTGTGCGTAGACTGACTGACACACAGCACCAACTCCCGACTAACTAACAACATCTGCTGATAGCGAGTGTGTGTACTAGGATGTGCGTAGTTCACTAATTGAACGCCGAGATCTTCCCCTCACTAGTGGCTTGTTCCCCTCACTACTGTCTTGTTCCCCTCACTACTGTCTTGTCCCACTCACTACTGTCTTGTTTCTCTCACTACTATCTTGTTCCCCTCACTACTGTCTTGTCCCACTCACTACTGTCTTGTCCCACTCACTACTGTCTTGTCCCACTCACTAGTGTCTTGTTCCCCTCACTACTGTCTTGTCCCACTCACTACTGTCTTGTCCCACTCACTAGTGTCTTGTTCCCCTCACTACTGTCTTGTCCCACTCACTAGTGTCTTGTTCCCCTCACTACTGTCTTGTCCCACTCACTACTGTCTTGTTTCTCTCACTAGTGTCTTGTCCCACTCACTACTGTCTTGTTTCTCTCACTAGTGTCTTGTCCCACTCACTACTGTCTTGTTCCCCTCACTGCTGTCTTGTTCCCCTCACTGCTGTCTTGTTCCTCTCACTAGTGTCTTGCCTACGACCTCGTCCCAACCTCCCCTCGCTCCTCAAGCATTCCCCCTTCGCTACATAGCTCTCTCACTTCTCCATCATCACATTCTTCTCCGTGCGTATGTGTGAAGAGCATGCGGGTTTATCCGTGTACATCTATAAATGTGCTTTTGGGATGGATATACACACACAGTATATGCTTTTTTTGTTAAGTGGGTGTACGAGTTTAAGTTGTGATGTAGCTATGCTTGCAGCCATACTCTCATGTGTTCAATTAATACGTTTCTACGATGATCAACCTGTACGGATGAGCGGTGTGTTTGGGTATACCTGCATGTATGTGAAGGTGGGTAAAAGGTGCCACTCAACAGTCAGTGTAGGTGGGTAAGAGGAGTCACTCAACAGTCAGTGTAGGTGGGTAAGAGGTGCCACTCAACAGTCAGTGTAGGTGGGTAAGATGAGCCACTCAGCAGTCAGTGTAGGTGGGTAAGAGGTGCCACTCAACAGTCAGTGTAGGTGGGTAGATGACCCAGCAGTCCTTGGTGGGTAGAGGTGCTCAACAGTCAGTGTAGGTGGGTAGATGAGCCACCCAGCAGTCAGTGTAGGTGGGTAAGATGAGCCACCCAGCAGTCAGTGTGGTGGGTAAGATGAGCACTCAACAGTCAGTGTGGGTGGGTAAGATGAGCCACTCAGCAGTCAGTGTGGGTGGGTAGATGAGCCACTCAGCAGTCAGTGGAGTGGGTGGATGAGCCACTCAGCAGTCAGTGTGGTGGGTAGATGAGCCGCAGCAGTCAGTGTGGGTGGGTAGATGAGCCACCCAGCGTCAACCAGTCAGTATGATTCAGTGTAGGTGGGTAAGATGAGCCACTCAGCAGTCAGTGTGGGTAAGATGAGCCTCGCAGTCAGTGTAAGATGCCACTCAACAGTCAGTGTGGAGTGGTGGGGCCACTCAGAGTGTAGCCACTCAACAGTCAGTGTGGAGTGGTAAGATGAGCCACTCAACAGTCAGTGTGGGTGGTAAGATGAGCCACTCAACAGTCCACTCAGTCAGTGTGAGGGTGGGTAAGATGAGCCGCAGCAGTCAGTGTGGGTGGAGTAAGATGAGCCACTCAACAGTCAGTCAGTGTGGGTGGGTAGATGAGCCACCCAGCAGTCAGTGTAGGTGGGTAAGATGAGCCACTCAACAGTCAAGCAGTCCAGCAGTGTAGTGTGGGTGATGGCCAGATCAGAAGATGAGCCACTCAGCAGTCAGTGTGGGTGGGTAGATGAGCCACTCAGCCAGTCAGTGTAGGTGGGTAAGATGAGCCACTCAGCAGTCAGTGTAGGTGGGTAAGATGAGCCACTCAACAGTCAGTGTAGGTGGGTAAGATGAGCCACTCAGCAGTCAGTGTAGGTGGGTAAGAGGTGCCACTCAGCAGTCAGTGTAGGTGGGTAAGATGAGCCACTCAGCAGTCAGTGTAGGTGTGCGGACAGGGACAACAGTTGCCGAGTATTGATTTTATCCTGGCAGAGCCGCGGGACTAAGACTCACCCTCCCACGGCGTCCTTGGAGGAAAAACCCTACGAAAATTACACTTTACTCTTCCACCCCAAGTGACTCCTCAACATGGTCCATAAATAATTATTATTTTTAATTCATTCATCAACAGTTTCCAAATATTTGCGCCAATTTGTAGTATACTCGCTAAACTTACAGGTATTTGTCAACATTAGTTTCTGTGTGATTAGTGTTTATCAAGAAAAGCAGATTGAATAATTATCCCTTTAAGCATAAATCACGTAATCAATACAATCTCCTAATTCCATCTTCACAGGAGTTCAGAGTTCAAGAGGATACGTATAAACATTTCTTCAACACCACCTACTACACCTAGCCCGGTATTGAAAATTTTTACACCGACACTTTTCAGTTGTTGGACTCGGACACTTCCGCCACCCGTCCCACACACACACACACACTACGGGCGGGTGAACTATGACAGAGGTAACGAGAGACGGAGACAACCACACTCAAACACCCATCATGGAATTTGTCACCATATCGGAAATTTTCATCAATAACTGGTAAAAGGTTATGTACGGCGCTGAAGATTAATATTCCATTCTATCGACACAGCTACCAGGACTTAACCAGTAGATGCTAAGCCCTATACAAAGACTCATAATGGACCCGCTAACTATTGTGTTACTAATACTCTCTGAGTGTCAATAAGGAGAACACATAATCCATTTACGATCTATGTTACAGTTACTATGATAATGTGGGGAAGTACTGAGCTAACCATAGCCTAGGAGGGAGGTGGAACAATAATAGGGTACTAAGCTGGGTGGTACAACACAAGGGTAAGGCAATGGTATGTACTAGGTAGAGATCGGCATATGTCTGGTAACTATATACACAACTGACTCGCCTAGATATTACCTACTGTAAAACTTAGTGTTTATGTCTTCATTATCACCTAAAATACTAGCAATATTAAGAGGAAATTATTTAAAATGCACAGTGATTCAATATTTTCTTTACTATTTGCTACTCTTAAATGTGTAGTGTAGATTTTACTTCAGACTTTAATTAAGACCATTTCATTTGCAATGCTTTTACGTGTTTAATTCTTTTTCGAATATTTGTTTTGTACTTTCTTCTAGCACTAAGTTTGTTGTGAGGTAAGGAGTGTAGGGTAGGAAATGTGCGGCAAAGTTAAAATAAGGACACGTATCTATGTCCCTGTGGGGTGGGATGGGGCTGTTGCAAAACAGCAACCACACGACCCTTCAGTTCCCAGGGACACCAAGAGTAGCATTAAGCCAGGCTGTGTCCTTGCACTAACACTTTTGGGGATCTTTCTTGCCATCCTCCTCGAGTATGTGTTCCAAAACAACGAAGGTAGAATCTAGCTTTAAATGCTACACCCGAGGGTAATCTTTACAATCCTGCTCGTCTCAGCACACTAGACGGAGGAAAACTTCCATTAGAAAATATATATAATCACCGAGGATGTTGCACTCGTCGCCCACGAGGAATATTAACTCCATAGCACTATGTTCCATGAATGTTAATTACCCTAACTGGACATCGGGGTGACGAAAATAATGGTATTGAGACAAGGAGTGCTTTCTTGATCATGGTTCCCATAAGAAATATCCCCCCTCGAAGAAGACCTCCCTGGGTTTAACCATAATTAGAACCTCCTCACTCCAAGAGGTACTCAAATCTGTGCCTGAGAAAAAAAGTCCCTACCTCTGGCAGTTTCAGCAAGTGGACCTGAACTACCGACAAACTACTGTATCAACATCTATGACTGAAAAGTGAACAACATATAACCACAAAGAGAACAATTTGAACTTCTTTCACTTACTGTCTTCAACGCATCTGAGGATGACAGGACAGAACCACCAATGCAAACAACCTTCCCCAAGCCAACATACTCACAACAAACTTATTTGCTTAGTTGAAACAAAATCGCTTGCGCTGGACTGGTCATGTGCACAAATTGTAGGGTGGCCAACTACCCACAGGAAGTACCTTGTGTGACGATGTAGCAAAAGAAGAGAGACCCATAAGTTGTCCCAAACTTTGCTTTATAGATGAATCCGAAACAAGACAAGAAGGCCCGCAGCATCAACAGTCGAAGTCTAAGAGCGCCTCTTGGTGAGATGGGGGAGTGGCTTCGACAACTGCGGTAAGGAATCAAAATTCACGACAGGGACTTGCGCAGAACTGGTCTACCAAGGCACTTCATCAGTAATTAGGCTACTGTAAGACTATCATCTCTCACTAACGACCGGAGGCCACATACACATGAACTGATGAACCAAACTCTTAAGTTATCTAAATTATCTATATTATTATCATTATAGTAACTTAACTACATTCTCAAACATTCCTAAGTTGTTATAAACAAACACTGGAACAACACACACCCTAGGCCATTTAGAACCATCACACAATTTCTTGTAAGTCCAGTCAAATTTATCACGCAATCCCCCCCCCCCCCAATATATATAATTATAAATGGAATTACCGTTAATCTGAACAGTGTAGGCTGAAACACGTACCGATTACACACCATTCATAATCAAACAAGTTAAATATATGAGTGCGTCGAAAGTGAAAAATAATCTGACCACGGACTACTTCCCAAAACTAACAAGAATATATTGGACGTTATCGTGTTTCTCAGCGTTATTAATAGGTGTTGTCTTCCCGTTATGTTAGGCCTTTAAGGTAATTATTGTGTTCAACTACGTTATAACTGTCTTGTGTCCTCAAAGCTGTGTGGTCATGTTGGCAGAGGCGAGAGAGACTCCACCAGTCTTAGTCTCCCAGGACAGGTGACCTCCAAGACTGAGCCAACATCTGGTAAGAAAAAAAACCTATCAATTTTCTTTCCGAGACTTTACTGTTACCTGCATTATTAATATTATAATTATTCACGTCTACGTCACAGCACTTTTTCGATGGTGTTACAAGGAACTGGAATCAGATTGTGAATGTTCGCCCACGTAATTCAGTTGTCTCTAGAGATTGTTTCCTTTTCCCCTGTGCATATCGTCAAGGTCACCCACGCTCTCATGGAGTGTGGGGACCAATGTCCCCGCCAAGTTATGGAAAATATATTCTTCAAGAGTCCCACAGAACTATCCTTGGCGAGGGCGTACACGAAATTCCTAAGTATCCTTAAAACTCGCTAAATGGCAATTACCCTCCTAATATTGTATACGTTATTCTGAACACTGTCAATAACAGTACCGCATTAATAATGTTGTACTTTGATTTATATGAGAAAAATGTCTTAATCTATTAAAGAAGTGTATTGAGGTCGATTGTGACACGAAATGACGTTCGAAACCGAGTTAGCTTCTTATTATCACTCAGATATCAGGTTACTTTATACTGAGGTCCAGCCGCTCATCACTGCAGGATCTTGTAGCCAGCATTTTTGACTGCTGGCTCACTGTAACGGTCTCCTCACTACTATGTGGTCTTAAACCCTGATAAGTTTCACAAGGCGTGCGTTAGGAGAGAAGTATATTAATGTAAATGTACGTTCACTTGTGCGTATGTGTCCAGGAGTCACAGGCCACCACAAGGACAAAATGGTTTGTCGATACATACTGTCAAACTGGCATTTTGTGGTGTGGCTTACTTCAGGTCTCGTTCGGTAACATTAAACCTACACTGGCGTATTCTTTCGCTCCTGTGATTCCATACATAGGTACGTTCGCACTTATTTCACCCAGGTTAGTACAACACTGTCTCTAGTGCAGTAGTAATACCCTGTAGGCTCTCTCGGTTTATTGTGCACGTTGATTATTTCTTCAAGCTGTTTGATTGTTTTGTTTTTTTCATTGACCTTATCAATATAATCGTTCGTCGGTTTTTGGTCTTTGACATTTGACTAACAATGAAGGAACACAAGATTTACAACCACAAGTTAATGTTTTTACCGTAAGAGGGGGGGGGGGGTAAAAGGTAGACTACATAGCTGAGCGTCGTGGCCGAAGTGACCTTGGCAACACTACTCCAGTATGCCACTCACTACTTTACCTACAAGTCGAACCTTTTACCATTGATGATGATAAAATATTAATAATAATTACGTTATAACATAAAACATACTATCGATACATACTACCACATTCACACACAAAAAAATCATAAATCTGATAACGACAAACCCAAATATTAATGAAAATTAAGATATTAAAAAAAATAATATAAGAAAATTGTAACAAAAAGTGAGAACACCTTTACGACGCTCGCTGTCTGATAGAACGGTGCACATAACCCTGGCTGGCAGTTGAGGAACCTTACACAAAAAACTGACGACAGCAACGGTAATGAGAGTTCGAGAATGAAGTTCAATCTGCCATCCATCAACACTGGTTCTTGTTGAGCATATCTTGTCTAAATGCCACCAGTACTGTTCTCACAAGTTTTTACAAAGATTGTTCGTAAGTGACCCCCTATAATGTTTTGTTAGATTTGAAGATATACAAACTTGGGTAAGAATTTAGTATGTGACTGAACCACAAATGATGAATTAATAAAAGAACCAAAATTAACCTTATGATTTTAACAATGTTTTTAGTTAGATTTGATTTAATTAACTCCTTCAAAAATATTTCAGCTAACTTAACAGAAATATTTTTAGTTTTTTATTGTTAATTTATGCATTTAAACAACTTAAGTCCACAAGTATTTAGGTAAAGTCAGTTCACTCTGGGATACAACTGTTAACACTGAAGGGCAATACTGGAGAAATTAAAGTGATTCATTCATCACTCTTGTGAGTCTCACTATCATTATGTGATCAAATAGAACAAAATGCAAAAAACAGGACATATACATACAATACAATATTTACAGTGCAATGGGCCTATGGATCCCCTTATCGACCCCATTAAACCTACTCACCGTTTCTATTATAAATTATTGACAAGACGCAATGTTATGATACGACAAACACCATTGACAATGTTTATATAAAGTAAAGCAATGCAAGCACAGGAAGGGGACTTCTCGTGGGCATCGATCATTGCACAGTGTTCCCTGCCTGGCCTACACCAACTGCCAAGCACGAAACTATTTCCATTTTTAACGTAATTATCACAAGCACAGCAGAGTAAGCCATCATCGTAAATATGGCTATGAAAAAGTAAATAAGTGTAATATAAAATATATGGTAATTTCTGAAATATTTCAATCATTAAGGAGGTACAGACTATCACTGGTTGTATATATCCAGGTGGCCAGATGACAAATCGATTACCTACACCACTTGCGAGGGCTGAGCCAAGACTGTACCGGCGCCACCCAGCTAACCTGTCTACGCGCTGCCACCTGATGGGAAAAATGACGTACCGGACAGAGAAACCACCTTGCCCGTCAAACGTCTCTCACGGGTCTTTACGGGTCCCTTAGGTGGTGGCTCCTGAGAAGAGTGTCCTGGTGAGGGCTGACAGATTGTACCATCAGGCTCTGCCAGTAGAAAGGGTGACTGACTGGGAGGTATGGGGGTGACTTTCTTCCGACAGACACTGACGCGGACACACGTGAGAAGGGTGTGTTATCCAGTGTGACCTTATCAAACGCAGTTTTCCAGACTCCGGTTGCCTCCTGTACTAACACTGTGTGGGTCAACCGCCCAAACGGCTGGTAAGCTGATAAGTGGTTAAATGATGGAAAAGAACAAATCTTGACAGCAGAGATGAGTTGTCTCTTTTGTACGAGATCGAGAAAGTCGTTTGGGGGGAATACCTGTATGGTTAGTTCTTGATGTCACTGTGTAAAACTCAATGCTTGGAAAAAATCCTACTCGCCATACTATACTAGTAAGAAATAATAAAAAAGATAAAGGATTGGGCGGAAGGACGAGCACAGTCTGACGAAGGGCAGTAATCTGTGACAGGATGAGGCAGAGATAAGGAGAAATATCCTCATACACTCACATCCTTTCCTTGGACGCCTCAGTACACGTTTAGTTATGGCACTCACGGTGATCCACTACACAGTAATGTTTTAAAGTATTACTGCCCGTCAACAGCTAAGGTCTTTAAACGCTATTCCATATTAGTAAATATTTTAGTCATAAAAAAAAATATTAAGAAAATTACAATTCCGTTTATTACGCAGGATCGTCACAATACAGGTAAACTCGCAGGTTTCATATACAATAGGGATTCTTTTGGCTGACTGGCGTAAAAAATGTCATGAAACACATCCTTTATTTGTTTACATTTATTTTTCATGAACTGTGAAAAATGGGACTACTTGTGACATCACTTACTGCACCTAATAGAGGAAATTATCACTATTATCTAAATGGTGTTTATTAGTTGTGGTAATTAATTTAATTTAATATATAATGCAGTATCTGTTTGCGAGTGTGGTGGTTCACTATGTACAGCTATAGTATTAAATATACCTATACACTGTAGAGCTGAACTTTGGCATGGAGCTGCTCATACACCCCATCAAGGGTTTACCTCCAACCCCCCATGGTGGGACCCTCTCATTTAGAATACATATAATTTTTCTGTTTCTCTTCTATTTATTTCCACAATTTTTAACATGTAAATAGCCCCGAGAATACTCACGAAAGTCTAAATTGTGAGGACCTCCGCGGGCCCTCCAGTGCACGACCACAGTTTTTAACAGGGACATGTCATGTTGTCGGGGTGTTTTGGCTGCAATCATTCTAGTTAACATCATTTGGTCAAAAACAAACCCAGTAGGTATGAAATTGAATGACAAGTTAAAATTATCAAACAATAAAAAACATCGTTGATAAACCACACTCTCGCGGACACCATATTCCGAGATGACGACAAACATACTGTCATTTTCTGTCGTGCTGGACAGTGTTTAACCCCTCCACTACTGGACGTCACTTTTAATACTTTATTTGGTTAACACCAGATGATTTTATTCAGAACAGACAGACCCCTCGTACCCAAGTGAAGCTCCCTTTATGGCCACTATAAGGCTTGTCTTACCTGTTAGTGTTTGAGGTCTTGTGGCCTCTATGCAAACACGCTTACAACTTATTCCTTGAAAGAAATACCAAATACTTGTGTATCAAGATAACTAGATGCACACAAGGAAACATAAGACTTAGTTATATTACAATCTGAAAGTGTGTAAAAGATAATATTTTAACACAAAAGAAGGAAGATAAAATGTAATGAAATATTAAATTTATCTTGAGTATTAACACATATTGCACATTATAACAAGAACACACAGTAGCAAGTTGTGAGTACTGTACAACCTTTTCTAGACATTTATTAGCCAGATCAGTTTTTCATGTCATAATTTATAATAATAATTCTCGTATTTTGTCCTGTACAGTAAGTGTGCGAGCGTGTCTGTTTTTGTTCGTCGGCATGTATCGGAAACTATAGCATAGCTCCCAGTGATCTGTGACACGGCCAGGAGAGGTCGGATGTCTTGACGTAATGTACCCAAGTAAGTACAGTGCGTCAGTGCCAAGGTGGTTTCACGTCTCTCTGTACGTATACAATTCTTATAACATGATACACAACGTTTATCATTAGTAATGTTTGTACGTCACCCAGATATAGACGACAATACAGAAACAACATTTAAGTTTTGTTTATACAGATACTATTTGTCATTTAATTACAATAGTTTGGATGAACAGTTACACGGCTTCACCATAATAATACACACTAACCAAATATCGATGTCATGTGTTAACTTATAATGGCGACGACATGATGCTCTCTCTGTCACGTAGAACACACGCACAAACTGGCGGCCTCATGTAGAGAGAGAGAGAGACAAAGACAGATATAGAGAGAGATATAGATATGCTGTAGACAGACAGACAGAGAGAGACAGACAGACAGACAGACAGATAGATAGATAGATAAAGTTTATTGACCACAAATTACATATTATAGTTTAAGAGCTCAACAGTATGTCAGTCAATTAATCTGACACATTCAAACTGATGATGCAGCCTTGTATAGCCTCCTCTCCCACCCGTGTAAGGTCAACCTCCTCACCCAGGTCCTTCTCCAACACTCAGTTACGTCACCCACCTCCTGAACATAACTCATGCAACACCTAATTTTAATTAGATCGTCAATGTTTCTCGTCCACTTATTTTGTCATCGCCACGTTTATAAATATTACCAATGGCGACTATCTATCTATCTATCTATCCATCTATCTCTGTCTGTCTGTCTATGTCAGTCTGTCTGTCTGTCTCTCTATACCTACCTACCTGCCTGTCAGCCTGCTTGCTTGCCTAATACACACAAGCGTAATCACTGTACAAAAGGGTAATGATAAATACCTCCCCCCCCCAACAAAAAAGTCTCTAACGTAATTAATTAATGCCCTTGTTGTCCACCAATCAGCCCCGAGGGACGTGATGTGTTAGGGCGAGATTGTCTGATGGCGGATACTCCTAAGGTGAGGCACTTGACGGCGTCTTACTCGAGAGATCCTTGAGAGTACTTATATGGTGAGGTGGGGGAGGTGAGACACACACACGAAAATTATCCGTAAAAAGACAACAAATTATTATAGGTATGAGTGTGGTAGTCATACAGCAGCAGAAGATTGCCACCCGCACACAGTACAGACAAGAACCGGCGAGTGTGAAAGCAAACCAGATGAAGATAGAAAGTAAGAGTAGTGTGGTGACGGTGGGAGGAGAGAGTAACAAAATTAATAAGAAAAATAGAAATCGTACAAGTTTTTGGCACCAACTGTATTGTAGGTCTTGTCATTCTGTTCTGTGGTACCATTCTTGCCGCCTCTTACTATTAACTCTTTTGAAATAAAATATGATCTTTGGAACAATATATATATATATATATATATATATATATATATATATATATATATATATATATATATATATATATATATATATATTAGATTTTTTTCCAATATACAGTATATTTGTACACTTCAGGCACGATAATTATTCTTTACGGACGATGAATAACAACGCGTGTTAAGCAACTGTGGGTAAAGAATTGAGAACGGAAACAAGTGCTTAGTGCTATCATTATTTCGCCTTTCTGAAACTTTTTTTTCAGATTTCTGGCGTTAATTTGTAGTGTCTCTTTTTAAAGTTAGTTGAGTTAACTTTAACAAGCGCTATTATATACGATACAAAACTTGGTGTATCAGTGAAGAGCCCCAAGTTTTGCACACTTCCTGAAAACATCTGTGTGAATTATAAAATTGGTGAAGATGTGGGAGGCGTAAATAACAAAGAGACGCCGGACTTGCTTCCCACCCACACTAACCAGCTTAACATGTGGTTGCCAGTATTGTCTCACTGGTGTCAGGGAAGAAGCTTTTGTTGTTTTGCGTGAGCGAGAGAGCGTGCAGGTGCCTCCATTCTTGGCTTGCCCTCCTCCGTACATATACCTGTACGCAAGTAAATCACTGTAGGTGCGCGTGATCCAAGTGTATGCTGATAACCTCAAGGAACTTCGTGTTTTCTTGTTTCCTTGTGGTTATCAGCATATACCTATACATATAAATAATCAAAAGCAATCTAACTGATTATCTTATTTTTCTTTCATCTCTCTTACGTGTGATGTCTAAGCCAAGTGTATGATCACATGGTTTACTAAACCATTTATCAAATCCTTAAATAATACCGAATATTGTGTTATTATTCCGTTTTTTTTCTGGAGTATATCATGACCATAATACTGTACAGTACTTGAGAAATGTTCATTGGCGGCGAGACGATCGTACGTCTGGCAGATGCCCCTCCCGGCGCTGGTGTGTCGCCAGTGTTGCCACAATACCGCTGGTGACAAGAATGGGAGAGGCATCACTTTCTTTAATTCCCTAAATACACAATTAAGCACATTTTTATATGAATTCTAGTCGTTAGTTTCCAAAATGCTGTATACTGACTTCTTGAAATAATATTGTACTACTATTTCTGTTTAATGATATCAGTGGCCTGTGGCCACAAATTATGGATTTACAGGAGTGTTATTAGTGGTTAAGGTGATGTTGCCCGCCACACGTGGTGTACCAAGACCACCTTCACCGTCACCTTTAATAGAATGATTCTCAGCTGTATTATTTCTACCATATTCACAGTAAAGTGTGTTGGGTGTCTCAGTTATAAATCAACGAATGATGCCTCAAGTAAGATTATAAATAAGAGGCAAGTGTAACCATTTAAGCAATTTGTTATAAATAAGGATGTCCAATATTTACCCGGCAGAGGGGAGCCAGGGAACTCAGTATATTCTTAGGGGTTGTCAGGTAATTCTGTATAATCCA